GTGCGCTAGCATCAAGCTAAGAAGCTGGAATGAAAGAAACTTGTAGGAAGAGCAAAAGCAACAGCAAGAAAACGTTGTGGGGGAATGATGGCGGGAAAAGGGGAGGGGATGAGGGGGAAGGGGAAAGGAGGGGAGGGCCAGCCAGCTTGTGTGTGTATCCCTACGGTTCAGTTGGGTTGTTTTGTGATTTACCACGGTCATCTTGTCGCACCGCTCTTGAACGCAACGAACCAAGCGCAAACGTGACAGTAATGCTCGCGGCATGCATGCGTGGTGTTGAAGTTTGTTGCGGCGGACTGCTGGGCCCAGTGCAGAAGCATAGATTTTCCGTGCGCGGAGAGAACTTGCAGACCAATTTCCACGGATTTGGCGCAGCCGACAGGGGAGGCGGCGTGTGACGCGGAAAGCCCAAAGAGCATTGTGATTGGGTAAAAGGCTCCATAATACAAGGACCAGAGCGCCTTAATTGGGTGAAAATGACGTGGATGTGAAACTCTGCCACGTATAGGAACGGCCGCAAGATGCTGGGAAATGGATTATGTCAATGCGTTTCTGGCCGTTGGATCAATTCACCAAGTCAATACTTCGCGAGATCCACATCCCATTCTGGTATAAGTACGGCTTCATTGCGAATAGGTACAGCTTCCATAGCCTCTGTGTACATATATGATCCAAAGGATTGGCATTTATGGACTTTAAAAACACTTTGATGATGCAATCACCGTAAAGAGAAACTTGTGCCATTCGGCATCCACAAGCTACTTCACGACCTTGATGGTCGTTTACATACAAAGAGAACCTATTTGTACGGTACATACAGCCCGCAACAGCACACAACAGATCACTCAACTTAGAAACTATTAACATCCCTGTACGAGGGGTTCTCAGATTAGTACCAATCATTGTGCAGCTATGCCTTCCGACTTGAGCTCCTTGGGCCTCACAATGATGACCGGGCATGCACTGGCAGGGTAGAGGAAGTAAGGCACAGGGGAAGTGGAGGAGCACAGAACACACAGAATTTTAGTATGGGAATGAGCAGAGGAATGTAGAAAGGTGAAGATAAAATGGCACAATCGGAGGAGAATTTGGAGTTGGAGGCTCAGGACTTTTCTGTTGCAAGACTAACCTGTGGTGCGCGCAATATTCACTGACTGAGCCGAGTAGAGCTCTGCAGTGGAAGGGGGAAAGAGTAGCACAGGCACAGCAGGGAAGCTGATGAGTGACAGGAATGCAAGCTGGTGAATACCAAAAAAGGAGACGAGGAGGAGAGGCAGACAACTTGTGTACTGCAACAGTCTGGTGAGGTGCAGAGCGAGACTTCACGGCCGGCAGGCTTCTGATGCCGACAACGAGCACGTCAGCACACACTCATCACCTGAGGTCAGCTTTTCAGGCAAGCCAAGGGAGCAGCATTCTGGTGGGGTGCAAAGCGGTACTCACTTCTTCGCGGCAGGGAGACTCCTGGTGCCGACAATGAGCACGTCGGCGCACACACGCATCACCTCGCGGCAGATCACGTCCCTCTCGTCGCCACACGCTATCCGCCAATCGCAGTCCACCTGCATTGCCACGTAACGCTGATCGTGAGATACCGCTCTTGGTCCCGAGCTTCTATTGAGCAACTTTGATATTAGGGCCCTCAAATGGCCAACACGAAGCGGTTTCGAAGGCTCAGAAACGGGGTGACGGTAACAGCAGAGGCAGTAGGGAGGACGGGGGAAGAGGGCGCGAGTGGATACTGGGGGAGATGAGGGCGCGAGGGGGAAGGGGGGGTGGGTTTCGACCAAGAGGCGAGGGGGGAAGGCGAGGCTTACATCGGCGTGGGCGCATCGGCGCATGTACTTTTCCACGACGGCTCGCGCTGACGTCATGGCCTGCTGCTCTAAACACGCGATTGCCTCCTTGGGGAGCGTACCGATGGCATCTGCGTGGCGCGTGGCAGGGAATGGGGGCAATGGACGACGGGGAACGAGGGGAGAGAAAGTGGGTGAGCGATGAGAAAGGCGGGTTGGGCGGAAATGGGAGGACGGGGGATAACTGTGAAATAGGTGTCTCGAGGGAAAGGAACATTGGAAAAAGGAGTAAAAGAAAAAGGGAGGAGACAGCAAAAGAGAGAATGGGCATACGAACTGACCGCTGTAGTTTCTGACGACGTGTATTAGCCGCACGTGGTCGTGTCGCTTGCAGTAATTCCGGAGCGCCCAGTTGAACGCGAGCTCCGACCCTGCACGCGCCGCGCACAATACAAGAGACAGTAGGGGGAAGGGCAAGAGATACGCGGATCAGCAACAGGATAGACCCTTATGCAGCTGATTAATGAGGCGGCGGATGAGCAACAGGGCGCGTGGAACTGATATCATGGCACGCGGATGAGCATCAGAGATGCCGGAGGTAGGCACGATACAGGGCCACGGATCGCCTCGCAGCACGTCAGATCCGAGTCTGCATCCGTGCCAGTGCGTGTCGATGTCGGGACACGGCGGATCGGCAGCAGAGCAGCAGTTGGATAGGCTGCAGAGTGCATGTGAACCGCACAGAACGGAGTCGGCCGACGATACTGAAGCGAGGCGATGGACGATCAACGGTGGGTGCTCACCTTCACTGTTATCGACGGCTATTAGGATCTCGCGACAACTGCTGAAAAACGGCTCCATGCCGTCACTCTCCTCTTCTGCTCCGCTGGTCCTCCTCTCTGCTCCTCTCTGCTTCTCTGCCTTGTGCCGCTAACAAATGCGATGAGTGCACAAAAACTATTTATCGACAGAACTTCAGAAGTCCTGAAAATAGTAAACACCCACTAAAACACCTTCCAGTATAGAAAGAATGATTCAGCCTCCAGCAAACAAGAGTTATCTTTGGCTGCCGCTGCACTGAAGACGTTCAGATCTGTAAGGAGCGCTCGTTACTGCCTCTGTTATCGTCGAAACCTCTAGTAAGACGCTTGATGGGGATCGTCAAGGTAGGATGACGACGAAGCGCGATGGAATATGCTGAGTGGGTGAGTCGACAGCTGAGGACGGTGTGGGAAGTCGAGGGATTTTGTGCGTACGAATCGATCTGCTCTGTGTGTGTACTTGTTTCCTCTCGCAACGTCAATTCGAAAACCGAGAGCAGATGAGGTGAAGCGTGTCAACGATGACAACCTGGGCCTGACCCAACCACGAGGCATCTCAGCTTCGCGTCGCGCGTCAGTAGGTGCGTGGAATTGGTTCTCCCGGTTCCGTGTCAAGCGGGTCGTGTCGCGTCGTGGGGGATGAAACTTGAGGATGACGGGTGTGCTTTTGTACAGTCTCGCTCGCGAATGTGGGAATAAAAGGGGAATAGTGGAAGGGGGCAGCAGGAGGGCAAGTGATGGATGGATTGCTCGAAGAGGGCGGTTCAAGGTTTGTTTGACACGTTTTAGAACATTATGCCACGATAAAGAGCGGTTTATTCCAGGGCACCCAGAATGATTGTTGGAAGGGAAACTATATTCCAGGTCCATGCTTTCAGAGCTCTCTCAAATTTAGCCCCAGGTTTACTAAAAAAGTACCACTTTCTAGAATTTCGCTCACGCGAGGCCCAAAGTATGTTCAAAACTGGTCCTGCTGGGCGAAGTTCTCGACACGTGTCCAATTTCGCTTGTAAAATTTTCGACGGGGCAAAAAATAATAAAACCCCTTGGGAACTAGGGCACATTTGCGGGAGGGATCAACCCTAAACACCAAGCGGGTCCCCGTGTTTAGGGTTGATCCCTCCCGAACGTGTGTCCTGGATCCCTAGGGGTTTTATGTTTTTTGCCCCCGTCAAAAATTTCAAATAAGAAATAAGACACGTGTCGAAAAGTTTGCCCCGCAGGACCAGTTTTGAACATAATCTGGGCCTCGCGTGAGCAAACTTCTAGAAAGCTGTACTTTTTGAGTGAACTTGGGACTAAATTTGAGAGATTTTTGAAACTATGGAGCTGGGATATACTTTCCCTTGTTGGAACCTAACGAATATGACCCCTGCTGATTGGAGGGATGGGATGACGGAAAACGCGTTGCGGGTTGCGGGCAGTCAGTCATGCATGGTCAGTCACCCCCAGCAGTCGGGGGAAACACGAGAACAGCTACGTAACGAGAGACACGAGAAGACAACCTGCCAAGTCCTGCGCTGACCGCGGTCGCGCACGTTACAATCATGCACGAATGGGGAGTGAGAGGGGGACGGTAGGGTGGGGTAAGGTGAGGAAGGGTGCGGTGGTGGTCATGGTGAGGTTGGTTCAATGTCAGCTCAGCTGCTGCTGGATCGTTGGTGCGACGCGATAGCACTGGTGGTCCAATGAGGGTGCAGAAGTAACCGAAAGCTGAATTTGGGGGTCAACGCACCAATACCTGATCCAACAAATTCATTTTCAAATATAGCCACTCGGTGTCAATCTCGGTGTCCGTGCACTGTGCAAGAGGCGACCCTATGTTTCCAGCAGTGCAGGGTGCACCACGCTCAGAACCTCTTTCAGCCAAACATTCCCTCAACTATCCCCGCAAAACCATCCTCGCTGTTGTTCCCCATCATCACACGCCCATACGAACCGCGGTTGCCACCGGACTTTGAACGTTCAAAGCGTCGCGGCGCAGGTCCCTGCTTTCTGGGGCATCTGGGTGGAAAGTGGATACATGCGCTGTCCTCCAGCGAGGCAGGAGATTCGGTTCTCAGCCACGCATGCGGGCGATACTTGATGCGCTGTCCTGCTGACTCTGCACGGTCCGGCATCGTTGCGAAGGGTAACATGTCGTCCGACGCTGGGCGCCATCGTTATCGAAATATTGTACTTCATCGCCATAATAGCCCACGCAAGGTGGCCAGGGTGAGCGTTGAGTGACCCGATTCAACCTACTGTACTGTACAACCAACCAAACCAGAGCAGCGCGTATGGGGGCAACAGATAAAGTGCTGATACAGAAATGAGCCGTTACAACTTGTCAAATATTACGTTAGTGGACTTGTAAATATGAATAATGAGGCTGGCACAAGGCTTAAGATGATGATACAATTCCAGACAGAAGTGGCCTTCCCTTGAGCGAAGGATAAAGAGCCTGGGAGCGCTTGAAGTCATAAATGTTGTCAATGACTTCCCTCTTCTCCTTGCTTTTTACTTCCACTGACTCTTTCGCTCGCTCGTTGCCTCCACTGGCAGTATCACTTGCTCCACTCTCAGGGCTTGCGGCACAGACGGGAGCAGCGCTGTCTGAACCATTCACAGCAGGCTCGGGGGCGCTTTCCGCTGCACATGTTGTTGCTGCTTCCTCAGGTGCTGCTTCCTTCTCATGCCTCTGCACCTGTTGGGGTGTTGGGGCCATACAGAATACCGTGCCAGAGCATGCATTACCAGCAATGCAAGTGCACAATGTTACGTATACACACATATGGTGTGTGATATAAAGACCTGAGCAACGGCACTGCATAGCACGTAAAGCACACTAAAAGGGAAAACAGCTCATTACTTAGTAATAACTGCTCCCTGAGCGTATGGTGTACCTGCACGCTGAGCAGCCTCCTATTGGGTGCGCCTCGCTTCACCACAGAGGCAAAGAAATGCGCCACGTGGGATGGACGCATCAATCGGAGCTCCGCCACCTGGCGCACGGGGTAAGGACGAAAAGAGAGGGACGGGTGATGAGAGGGAGAGACCGTCCGAGGGAGAGGGACAAAACAGGGAAAGAAATGTCCACAAAGACTTGGGGGAGAGGGTGTCACAGTGGGAGGGTGATCCTTTGGGGGTGAGAATTGTGGGCTGGGAGCCCAAGGGGAGGGAATAGGCTATCGTTGAGGCCTGGTCAGCGCGGTCAAAGGCAGTCTTTACCTCCAGGTAAGCACGGCCAAAGCTCATAATTACCTCCTGGTCAACGCGGTCAAAGGCCAGCATGGCATCGTCGATCTCCTTCCACATCACATTCGCCTCCTCCACCAGATTCTTCTTCCTCTCCTGCTTCTTCGCCACTAGCGCTGCCACATGGGTCTGATGTGGTTGGGCATGGTGGAGTGTGGTGCAGGGTGGTGGGGTGTGGTGCAATGCGGTAGTTAGTTAATGCAACATTCCTCCACCAGATTCTTCTTCCTCTCCTGCTTCTTCACCACAAGCGCCGCCACATGGGTCTGATGGGGTTGGGTGTGGTGGGTTATGATGGGTTGTGGTGCAATGCGGTGGTTAGTGTATGCAACGTGTGGAAATAAAATAACTCCCTCCCAGTTCTTCCTCTCCTGATTCGTCGCCACCAGTGCCGCAACATGGGTTTGATGGGGTTGGGTGTGGGTAGGTATGGGTAGTAGTGCTTCTGCAATGCTATGTGCATCCATGTCAATCAATTCGTGGAGATTTCGAAAAACAAGGCAGAAACAGACAAGAGATGCCACCCACCTGGAACTCCTCCTCAGTGATACCGGCCAGCTTGCTCTCTGCTGCCTGCAGAAACGCCTCCACCCGCCCGTCCAGGTCGCTCGCTGACTGCTCCCATGTGGAGCGGTGGGGAGGGGCGGAGAGTGGTGGAAATGGAAGTATGGGCAAGGAGGAAATGCGAGGTGAGGGAGAAGGGTAGGTGGGGACAGCTGACCCTCTTCTGCCTGGGGAGGAGTGGGGAGGGCTTATGAGCTGGCATACGAACCGTCACATTGATTCTCACATGGCATGTGGACTGACGGATGAGTTGGCACATGAACCGGTAATGGAAGATTGGCAAATTCACGGAAAGAGCACACGACATTGCATGGGTTGGCAGATTGAGAACGAGAGTGCAACAGCAAGGATGACAGGCGGGCGGGTGAGGGGAGAAACGTGCCTTGACGTTTGATTGGATGATAAAGGTGATGCCGTGAACTGCATTCTCGTTGCTGTGAGGGCAATGGGGCAGTAGAGCAACAAGCGGCAGAGGCAACAGGAGGATAGAGGAATGTTGGAAGTGGGGGCGCACAAGGAGAGCGAGACAAGGCGTGTGGCACATGCACCATGGTTTGAGGAGATTGAAGGCCACCCACCGAGACATGAGGAAGACGATGTAGCCCAACTGCTGCACAGTGCGCAGCTCGTAAAACACGTCCCTTTCCAGCACCTGCACCAGCAGCTGCGCCACCACGTGTGCTCGCACGCTCACCCCTCCTGCCACCTCCCCACTAGGCTTCTCTGCGGGCAGCCCGCTGTTCGCGCTCTCCCCCCCTGCCTCTGGTGCCGACGCCTGAGTCGCTTCCCCCATGGCAGCTTCTCCCTTGCTGGGGGCTGGGGCTGCTGGCAGGACGATGGTCTCCCCGTCTTGACACACCTGCAGTGAGGGCATGCAGGGACAGAAGGGCAGAGCTCTCACCATTGGGGCTCAAGTTCCCATCCCATTGCCAAACACAGCCACATTTTGAGGCGCCTCAAAACTTCTGAGGCGCCTCAAATCTCCCATTGCCAGCCGCACCATGAGCAGCTCAGGCAGCTGTAACCCCCTCGTCCCTGCCTGTACCCTCGCCTCTCTCAACACACCCCTCCCCCCTTCCCCCGCTTCCCCCTTCCCCTCCTCGCCTGCAGGTGGAAGGAACACGATGGTGGAGTTCTCATCATCGGGGTTGAGATTCCCACCAGCCAGCACAGCAACACTTTTAAGTCAACACAAAAGTCACCGCTGAGCTCTCGTCATCTGGGCTGAGATTCCCGCCAGCCAGCACGGCAGCACTGCCATCGCCCAGCCGCACCATGCGCAGCTCAGGCCGCTGTGCGGGCACGGAGGCCTCTGCTGTACCCCCCCTGACCTGCCTCCTCTCCCCTCCCCCCTCTCAATCACCCCCCTCACCTGCAGGTAGAACACGAGGGCAGAGTTCTCGTCATCGGGGTTGAGGTTATCCCCAGCCAGCACGGCAGCACTGCCATCGCCCAGCCGCACCATGCGCAGCTCAGGGCGCTGTGCGGGAACGGGGGCCTGTGCTGCTGCGATCGGGCTGGATCGCAGGCGGGATTCCGTCTCCTGGGCGAATGCGATTGCTGATGTGGGGGCGATGTTGCCTGGAGGGACGAGGAAGGGACAGGGGGAGGGAGGAAAAGAGGGGGAGAAACTGGGGGTTTGTTGGTCGCATTGCCAGCAACTGAAACTCAGCCAAGATTCTGCTGCTGTGGGGGAGATGTTGCCAGAAGAACGAGGGCCCTGGAGAAGATGGGGGAGCAAACAGGGGCAGCTGGGGGTGCTGCACATACATGAGGGGCTGCTAGGAAAGCGAGCGAGAGGTCAGCAACGAAACGAGAGAACGCGGTGGGGTTTAGTACCTCAGATTAAGGGTGAAAAGAAGGGGCAGCACCTGAGGCGAAGAGCTGGAGGGAGACGTGGGAGAGCAGCGAGGGCAGGAAGGCGGCGAGGTGCTCTGGCTGCAGGGCGGGCAGCGCAGCAAGGTAGTCTGAGAAGTGCCAGCGCCGGTGCGCCAGCAGCAGCGATGCGGAGTAGAGCGCCTGTGCGTACGGCTGGTCATAGCGGAAGTTTTCGAATTCCCTCTGCTCCTTCTCCTGTAAATGGGGAGTGGGAGGGAGGGGAAGGAGGGAGTGAGTGGGAGTGGGAGCAGCGCAGCAGCAGCGACGCGGAGTAGAGGGCCTGTGCGTACGGCTGGTCGTAGCGGAAGTTCTCAAACTCCCGCTGCTCCTTCTCCTGTGGGGAAAGACGTGGGAGAGGGGGAACGAGGGGGAAGACGAGTGGAGAGAGGAAGATCGCATCTCGTATAGAACTAGAAAAAAAAATGATGATGTGGAAAAGAAACCTCGATGACGTGGAAGCTCACCTTGATGACGTGGAAGCTCACCTCGATGACGTGGAACCCCACCTTGATGACGTGGAACCCCACCTTGATGACGTGGAAGCGGTCGGCATCAACAGTGTAGGTGACGAGGCGGTCGATGATTTTAGACACCAGCACTAGCAGCTTGTGGCTGTACCCCCATGCTGATATCTGTGCGTGAGGTAATGGGACATGGGGGCATGCACAGACTAGTGATGATCTTTGCAAGCAGCAGCTTGTGGCTGTTCCCCCATGCTGATATCTGAGTGTAGAGTGAAGGCAGGGGAAATAGAGAGAAGGGCCACAGGGGCATGCATGAGACAGAATTGGTTAAGCTCTTCACCCACCAGCAGCAGCACCCCATGCCTGCCATCCCTGCCATTTCTACCATACGTGCCATTCATACCATCCCAACCGTCCACCATTCCCAACATCCCTACCATCCCTGCCTGCGCTGTCAGCTGTGCCTGAATGCCATGCACGCTTGGCACGATGCAGTGGTTGAGACCCGCAATCTCAGCATCGTATGCTGCATGCATGCTTTTAAAGTGGACTCGAGATTCAGATCGTATGCTGCATCCATGCGATGGAAGGGGGTGGCTTCTGAGCCAACTCAAGAGTTACCTGAATGCCGTGCACGCTTGGCACGATGGAGTAGTTGAGTCCTGCGATCTCAGCATCGTACGCTGAACAGGATGGCAGCGAGTGGTGCGCAGGGGGAAGCGCGGGGAAGGGGAAATGGGTGGAAGGGCGGGAGAAAAGCAAAGGGGCGAGGAAAGGTGCACGATGGAGGAGTTGAGCACTGAGATCTCAGCATCGTACGCTGGCAGTGAGTCGTGATGGCAGGGGTGGTGTGCAGGGGAGGGAAGATGCGTTGAGAGAGAAAGACGAGGGAAGTTAAGGGATGCGAAAGTTGAGGGATGCGAAAGTTGAGGGATGCGAAAGTTGAGGGATGCGAAAGTTGAGGGATGCGAAAGTTGGGGGATGCGAAACTTGAGGGATGCGAAAGTTGAGGGATGCGAAAGTTGAGGGATGCGAAAGTTGAGGGATGCGAAAGTTGAGGGATGCGAAAGTTGAGGGATGCGAAAGTTGAGGGATGCGAAACTTGAGGGATGCGAAACTTGAGGGATGCGAAAGTTGGGGGATGCGAAAGTTGAGGGATGCGAAACTTGAGGGATGCGAAAGTTGAGGGATGCGAAAATTGAGGGATGCGAAAGTTGAGGGATGCGAAAGTTGGGGGATGCGAAACTTGAGGGATGCGAAACTTGAGAGATGCGAAACTTGAGGGATGCGAAAGTTGAAGGATGCGAAAATTGAGGGATGGGATATGTGAGGGCGGAGGGTGAGCTAGTTGGACATACACGCACACAGAGGGGTGAGGAAGAGGGAATGAGACAAGATAAAGCGCATGGGAATGGGACATACAATCACACTGCAACGTACCGTACGCGTTGAGGGCGTCTTGCAGCAGGGAGGCAAAGAGGCGAGTGAGGAGGTTTGAGCGGGGGGAAGTGTAGGCTTCAGGCGAGGCGTTTTGCATGAATAGCACTTGCCTTGGGCAGCCCAAAGAGTCTATTTATGAGGCGCGTCAAAATCACACTGCAACGTACGTACCATACGCGTTGAGGGCATCTTGCAGCAGAGAGGCGAAGAGGCGGGTGAGGAGGGCGGAGCGAGGGGAGGTGTAGGCTTCAGGCGAGGCGAGCTGCATGAAGAGCACGGCCTTGGGCAGGCCAAAGAGCGTGTCTGGCTTGTGCCACAGGCGCAGCATGGGGGTGGCGTGGATGACCGTGGGGGAGGAGACCTGGATAATGCATCGCGGTGGGGAGAGAGTGCATCACACGGAGTCAGTACGGGACAACTGAACAGGCGAAGAGTGTGCCGGGCTTGTGCCACAGGCGCAGCATGGGCGAACTGTGGATGACCGTGGGGGGGAAGATGGTAGACCTGCACACGCGTCATGTGGAATGGAAGGGAGCGGCGAGCTATGAGATGGGCCACACTTGAAAGGGAAAATAGCATGTCGGGCTTGTGCCGGAGACGGGGCGTTTTCCCAGGCATGAACACGTAGCGTTTGGAATCTAGTGTGACTTTTAAGACGTCTCAAAAGTTTGCCCAGGCATGAACACGTAGCGTTTGAAATATAGTGTGCGCACCTTGCCAGTGGGCGGCGTGAGAACATCCAGGTCAGAGGGCACGAACTCGTTGGGAGCCGGCAGATGCAGCTCGCTGCTGCTCCCACCATCCCCTGCTGCGCTGCCTGCACCATCAGCAGCAGCAGCAGCAGCAGCAGCCACACTTTCACCGGCTGCACCAGCAGCAGCAGCAGCAGCAGCAGCCACACTTTCACCGGCTGCACCAGCAGCAGCAGCAGCAGCACTGGGCACAAGAGGCGTGGTGGCAACTGGTGAAGGGCCAGCGTCAGGAGCAGCTGTTACTGCTTCCCTCCAGCGCTGCAAAGGGAGGGAGAGGATGAGAAACAAAGCAAAAAAGAGTACGCGAATCAGTAATGAAAGAACCGCAAAAACGCACTAACTCTTGGAGCCTTTCGTACCACCATCCTTTGTTCCTCACGCGTGGCTTCCCTTTCAGTATTCACTGCTTTATGATTAACTCTTTCGACCAAACAACCTTACTCCATCCACCCGCTACCGCCCATCACCTGCAGCAAGTCATCCGGGATGCTCTGGGCGGAGTGCTTTGTCTTGTACCAGCGCTCCTCCTCTGTTGCCTCCGTCTCAAACCGCTTCGACAGCCAAAAGACCCTGAGAGTGCAGTCGCCGAGGAGGGGGGAGGTGAGGGGGGAAGAATGACAAAACGGGGGAGGGTGGAACAGTGACAATAGAGCAGATGGTGAGACGAGCACGAACAATTTGGAGCGCCGGATTGAAACAAGGAGCACCGATTTGGAGCAAGGGGCACCTGACAGACTTCAACAAGGTGCAGCAGCAGGCGGGCACACAAACACACACTCACTGCACGTTGTCAGGAGTGAGCGCTTTGGCCAGGTCCGCTAGAGCAGCAGGGTCAAAGTCTCGTGGGAGAGAGGCACCTGCTAGCCAGTCCTCCCGTGGGTACAGCTGCGGATGGGAGTGTTGAGTGGAGGGGGGGATCGTGAGGGGTGAGAGGCAGAGGGCCAGGTATAGGGAAGAGCATGCTAGTTCTGCAATGGTTTACAATAAACGCGCGTCCAGAAGCACAGGTGTGCGGAAACTTGTTGTTTGTACGTGCAGAGAGACGATGGGACGGAAGGAAGGATTCTCACCTGCATGCCGGCAGCAATGGCGGACGTGTAAAAGAAGGGCTGCTGCTTGTCCTGGAAGTGGAACTTGGTGGCGCACACCGCTGCCAGCTGTGGTGCACACACAACGATGGGTGGGCGAGAAAGCAAGCGAAAAGGCATAAGGGTATTAGGGGGGACACTCCCTCGCAATGGTGATGGGGAGGAGTGGTCGTCCTGGAAGTGGAACTTGCTGGCTCACATCACACTGCTGCCAGCTGTTGCAGGGGGCAGAACGGGAAGGGTGGGAGGTAGAGGGAGCAAGAACCAGAAGGGAACGAGGGGTGAAACTTCATGTCGTAGACTCTGAGCGTTTCATTCACTCACAGCACCCACCATTCTGGAAATGATTTGCAACCAGTCTTCGGATGCCATAAAACTAAACTCACTGCCAACAAGCGCTCCTCTCTCACAGCTCTCTACTTGCGCAGTGTCACGAATGCAATGAGTCCCCTCGGGCACGGCACGGTACAGTACCTCATCGAAGATCCACTGCTGAATGCCCTGGCCGCTCTGAATGAGCCCAATGTACCGAAACACGAGCTCCGCCACCTCCATTGCGTGCTCTGGAGTGGTTGGGAAGCATGCGGCATGGGGGGATTCAGGGGGAAGACATGGGCCATTGGACCGCTCTGAATGAGCCCGATGTACCGAAACACGAGCTCCGCCACCTCCATTGCGTGCTCTGGAGTGGTTGGGAGGATGGGCATGGAGGGATTCAGGGGGTGGCATGGGGAGGGCATAGGGGTGGCACAGGGCATGGGGAGGGGATAGGGGTGGCACAGGGCATGGGGAGGGGATAGGGGTGGCACAGGGCATGGGGCGGGGATAGGGGTGGCACAGGGCATGGGGAGGGGATAGGTGTGGCACAGGGCATGGGGCATGGGTGAAACACGAGCTCTGCCACCTCCATTGCATGCTCTGTGGTGGTTGGGAGGATGGGCACGAAGGGGATCGGATGGTGTAGGGCATGAGGGAAACAGCCCCGCTCCCACACCCCCATCGCATGCTGTGTGGTGATTCAGAAGAAAGGGGCTGGGGGGGAAGGAATCCCGGCCCATCTGTGGACAGCATGGGTCATGCTGGCTGCAGTGCGGATACGCACGAAGCACTCACCATGGCCCAGGCCTGTCAGGTCGATATTGACAGCAAAGAAGGCGTAGTGCTTGCTGCTGTGGCTGAGAGGCGACTTGAGAGACGAATCAAGGGACGCACTTACCATGACCCAGCTCTGTGTGCAATCTCAGTGCACTTGCTGCTGTGGCTGGGATGGAGACTCACAGTAAGAGCGCACTCACCATGGCCCAGGTCTGTGAGGTCGATGTTGACAGCAAAGAAGGCGTAGTGCTTGCTGCTGTGGCTGCGCCCCGCTCCCAGCGCGGTGGCCCAGCCTGCCAGGCACCGAGTGGACAAATGAGAGGGACGGCACAGAGGCACGCGTTGAAGGGTGGACGGGTGGAAGGAATGCATTAAACACGTGGAAGGGGTAGAACTAGTTAAAGCGGTGCAGGTTCTGGTCCGGTAAAGTGGACCATATGAGCTGTACCTCATAGAACCACATTGAATCTCTCCCAACCTCCATACCCTCGCCCCCCACTCTCCTCACCTTTCTTCTTGAGCAATGCAAAGAGCGACCCGTGCCCCTCATGCCCAATGAGGTGGCCCAGGTAACGCATGGGTGTGGCGCGGTGCAGGTGCTGGTCGGCCGGGGTGGGCCACACGAGCTCCAGCTTGTGCCCTTCTGCCACTGGCACTGCCCGCACTAGCTTCTGTGGGGGGGGAAGGGTAACAAATGCAAGGGAGGGACAAAGGGGTGGAGGGGAGGGAGGGTGCAGGCACGTGAAAGAGGGTGCAGGTGCTGGTCGGCCGGGATGGGTCACACGAGCTCCAGCTTGTGCCCCTCCGCCACTGGCACTGCCCGCACTAGCCTCTTCCAGGGGTGGGACGGGAAAAAGCAACGGGGGGGTGCATGTGGGCAGAAGGGGGGAGTCCTGCTCTGGTGCAGTGCCGGCAGTGGTCAACCAGTGTGGGCCACACAAGCTTCCAGCTTGTGCCCCTCCGCCACTGGCACTGCCCGCACTAGCCTCTGAAGGGGGTCGGTCAGGGGATACAATACAGTAGGAGTGGGAGAGAGGGGAGAGAGTTAAGAACAGGCTTTGCTAGAGCGACCTTGCAGGCCGCTGCCGCTCTTGCTCATGACCAGCGACCCAAAGGCAGTGCAGCGCACATTGGTTTGCTCTACACCTCAAGAGTCGCACGGACTCGCAGCACAGGCTGATGTTTCTGAATTGACTATCGACCTCAAGCGACTATTTCGCATACAGCGGCTGCTGTTTCTCATGTCCAGAGACCTAGAGGTACCGCACCGCACCTTGGTGTATTTGGGACCGCAGGGGTCGCCAGGGATGTCAGGCTGCTGCAGTGCTTTGTTGGGGATGAGGGCAAAGCGACTCTCCACCATGGCCCGCAGCGACGAGAGAGAGTCTGAAGGCGGGGGGGGGCGGACAAGGGGAACGCAGGGGGGATGCCGACAAGGGAGGGGGCAGGAGGTGGGGCTTGTGGGAACGAAGGGCAAAAGTGGGGAGTGGCAGAGTTCTCTTTGGAATAATGAATGAAGCAACAAATAGAGAGGGTGTCTGAGGGTGCGAGGAGGGGGTGCTGGGGAAAGAAGGGCGGGCGGAGGGTGAGGTGACAAAGGAAGGAAGGGCGGAGGGTGGGATCGCATTGGTTCTAAATATTCCGGAATCATGAACGGGAGAGAGTGGAGAAAAGCCCATGGCTGAGTTGAGGCGGTCACCTTTGCCACACACCACGAGGTGCATGAGGTTGGCGGAGTAGTACTGAAGGAGCTATCAGTCGTGACAAGCTATCAGCTCCTGCCACAAGTCTTATTAAGCGTACACGAAGGCCAGACCATGCCCATACACCACATTCATCCCCTCCTTACCAACCAGCACGCACCTTTGCCATACACCACGAGGTGCATGAGGTTAGCAGAGTAGTATTTCTCATAGAAGGCTACCAGCTCCTGCCGTATGTCCCTCCCACTCGCCTCTGGCACCTCCCTTAGCGTCTCCAGCGATCCTGTTGTGCCAATGACAGTGACATGGCATGCCATGACATGATGTGACAAGCCATGACAATGCATGACAAGCAATGTCATGCCATCCCATGGCAAGCCAGCCATGCCGTGCCATGGAAATCCATGCCATTCCGTGCCATGGCAATCCATGCCATGCCATGCCACAGAAGCATCCATCCACCCCATGTTGGCATGATTGCAAGAATCAGGATCGACGATTAGGAATGTGAAGGGCATGTGTGACATGGTGTATGCATCAAGGAAGATACGAAGGCACGAGGCATGGATGCATGATGCGGCGAATACAAATCTGTAAAGCATGGAGCATGGAGCATGGAACATGGGTATAAGGCAACGCAGGTAGAGAGGCTGACCAACGTTGAACTTGTAGAAGGGATGCTGGGGCGAACAGAAGCTCTTTTGAAGCTGCCAGAGAGAAGGGGTGCGTGGGTTGAATCAAAGAGGAGATTGAAGGGGTGCGAAAGGCAGGCAGGGCATCACACACAACAAAGAGCAGGAGCATGTCTCAAGTGCACAGCACAGGCACCAATGGACGTGACACACAGCCGTCACGATCCTCACAGATGCTGAACATCAGCTGAAATGCCATGGGTTGAATTTTTAGCACAGCGACAACTAGAATGAATGAGGTGCTGCAAGCTGCACCTGGCACTGTGTGTGAGACAGACGTACCTGGTTGATCCGCCAGGGGTCGGAAATCAGGTTCTTGGTGTGCTCTGAAGGATTGTGTAGGCAAAGCAGTAAAGAGGGTGGAACAACGGTTCACAAGGTCGAATCATGAAGCCACAGAGGTCGACCGAGCCTTGATGGTGAAGGAAAGAAAGACCCACGAGTCCAACATGACAGGTGTAGCGACCCAGGCAAGGCAAGGAAAGGATTTTTTGTTTTTTTCTAGACGCCTCAAAAATCATGACAGGTGGAACGAATCAGGCAAGGCAAGGATGAATGGGGAATGCAGCTTGGCACCTGGGTGAGAACTGCACTGATCTCCCAACCTGGATTGGATGTGTAACATAAGCAGACATGCAACTCGCAACAACGCCTCTGTACCTGAGTGCACCGCATTGATTTCCCGGTTGGTGGCATCGGCTGACATGAGCGGGCAGATGAAGAATTGGGCAAACCTGCCGTCACATGATTTCACAAGGAGAACAACAGACGATGACAAAAGCATCAGCTCGAACTGTATGCTGAACATCAGTTTAATTACTGCATGCTGACAAAATGAGGTTCAACACTCTATGTGAACCCCTGCAAGGCCCTTATCACCAACCTGTAAGGCCCTTGTGACCACGCACCTATCAAGTGCTTCATCCAGGAACTCAGCAGCCACGTCGAACTGGTAATTGGTGTTCTCCGCTGCCGTGTACGCGTTCGACCGCCCGCTGTGCTGCGAGGGGGGAGGAGGAAGAAGAGGTGGGAGGGGGGGAGCGTAGGGTGGGTTTCGGTTGGGGGAGGATGGGGGAAGGGTTTTGAGACATCGAAAGTAGTTGGTGTTCTCTGTTGCGTGTATGCGTTGGACCGGCCGCTGTGCTGCTAGGTGCACACGAACAGTGGAATGGAGGGGAACAGTGAGACGTCTAGCACAACAGCAGCAGAGAAGCAGGGGACGAGCGAAACGTCTGAGCTGACTGTAAGGAAGGCAGAGCATTGGTGGAGGAGGAGGGGGGGGAGGAGGGGTTGGTTTTGAGACGTCTCAAAGCACAGTGAAACATCAACTCTCAGAAAAAGGATGATGTCAAAATTGGGACTTAAGTCATGCTGAAGTTACCTTGTTGAGGAAGTCACTGTAGCTATCCTCGATAGGGTACTTCTCGCTAGCATAGAAGAGCATGTGTTCTGTCACAGGAAGAAAAGTAGGGATGTGAAGAATTCAGCAACTTCAGCAAATGTTTAGAAAAAAAGGGCATTCTCCTCCGCGCTAGGGAAGCCCATCTCCCATGCAACATGTTGATAGCAACTGAATTCGAGGTGAGGAAGTTGGCATCATACAGCCATTCCCGTTCAGGTCAAACGCGACAAAACTCTGTCCGGTCGCGAGAGGATCGACCGGAGCGATTCATTCAAGGAACGCGCGAATCCCACCCACCTAAGAAGTGAGCGAGGCCAGGCGCGTCGTCAGGATCGCTGAGCGACCCCACTCTCACGTCCATGGCCGCTGCAGCCTGCAGAGCAACGCAGACGGAATTTGCTGCTGAAATTTATCGAGAGAATGCGCCGAGGACGGAAGCTCAAGCATCAGCCTAGGACGGATCTGCAAGCTCGATCTACTCTGCGAGTAATCGGAACTCTCGGCGTGTAACGCACTAGGAATTGCCGTTACATAATCCTAAAGTTGGATTCGCACGGATGAAATATCTGGTTTAAAACGTGTATGGGCCTGACAGGTCTGAACAACAAGGCAGGACTGACTATAACGCGTTCATCTCGCGGAAATTCACCGCTCCGACACGCGCTATACGGAGAGACACACCTTATCGGTTTCAGGATCCGAGATAAGCAGCACGGTTAGCCCGTTCGGTAGTTCCAGCGCTTCGTACTGCCGCTGGTCGCACCTAGGAATCAAAATACCGCTGGCATTGCCTGAGCTGTTAGGACTGCTGCTCTCGACGCTACCACTCAACGGCGCTCCGTGCGGCGGCATCTCGCCTCTAGCAGTTGAAAGGCTGGAACTACTGACTGTTTCGCCGCTACCTGCTGTCTGGCTGGAGCAAGTGACGGAAAGCAAAGTGAGTGCGACTATTGCCGTCAAGCAGACGAGAATGGGAGATCTGAGCAGATCAGATGCCATAAGAAAAGTAGTGCCCTCGCTGCTCTTCAAATTTCAGAATTGCGTGTGAGCCACTGTAAGTGAGGGAGTGCCAACCATCCGCTGCAATCTCGAGGTTTCCTTGGAATTTCGGGAGTGTGGAAAGCGTACGCGGTAAGACTACGTGGAACACAAACTCAATACCATTTACCATGTACATGATATATCCCTTAGTTACTTTCGGAAAAAAAATCAACACTGGATAATGATGCTTTATTTTAAGACCATGTATACTGATAATTTGGAACAAGCATAAAAAACACATGCATGGTCATGTTTCAAGAATCAACTAGGGAGCAACCTCGAGCAGAGATGGCTCATAGCCCTCAGGAGCCTCGAATCCGAGCAGGTTCATGAAAGTGGCTGTAACATTGGCAAGGCCTGCATTCGGCATGTCCTGCCGGAACCTGATGTTGGCTGGCAGCCCGGGACCACCGATGGCAATAGGAACCTGCAAGGTCGCACAGAGCAACAATTTGTGTACAAACAAAGGATGAGACGAACCAGTAAGCTCCAATTTTCTGGGGAAAGACAGACACAAACGGGGTAGGAGAGGGGACACACATGGCTGGTGCTGATAGGTCAGAAACTAGGATGGAAAATCACATCAAGATCGGATCCAGGCACGTACGGGGGCGAGGGTGTGCGAGGTGAGGGGCTCTGGTGTGCCGTCAGGGCCGAGGATGGGCTTGTGGGTCTTGCTGTTGCGCTGCACCATGTCATCGCAGTTCCCGTGGTCCGCTGTCAGACAATAGATGCCGCCCACCTGCTCCACCGCCTCCAACAGCTCCTGGTAAAGGGGCACGGGGTTGCGGGGAGAAGGCAAGGAGGAGCAGAGAGTGGAGGCATTGAGTGAAAAAGTGATTCAAGGGAATGTTTTTTGAGAATCCTCAAAAAACAGTGGAGGTATTGAGTGAAAAAGTGATAGGGAAGCATGGTGATGAGTGAAGGTGAAGAGGGAATACGTGGAAGTGCCACAGGAGCATCCTTTCCTCCCTCACACTGGCCCCAAGTCTCACTGCCATCCACGGCCTCACAAGCAGCCAGCACAGCGTCAAACACACCTACATGCCCCACACCCCGTGCCCCGGAACGCATTCCTCACACTCCACGCCTCTCGCCCCAAGGCTCACCTTGACGCTGCCGTCCACGGCCTAACAGGCCTCCAGCACGGCGTCGAACACGCCCGTGTGCCCCACCATGTGCCCGACCCCACACTCCATGCCCCACATTCTATGCCCCACAGCCCATGCCCCATCCACTGCCTCACCTTGACGCTGCCATCCACGGCCTAACAGGCCTCCAGCACGGCGTCGAACACGCCCGTGTGCCCCACCATGTGCCCGACCCCCTGTGCCCCACATCCTGTGCCCCACTCTCCATGTCCCACACCCTATTGCACACAACCCATGCCTCACCTTGACACTGCCGTCCACAGCCTCGCAGGCCTCACGCACGGCGTCAAACACGCCCGTGTGCCCCACCATGTGCCCAACCCCCTGTGCCCCACATCCCGTGTCCCACTCTCCATGTCCCACACCCTATTGCACACAACCCATGCCTCACCTTGACGCTGCCGTCCACAGCCTCGCAGGCCTCCAGCACGGCGTCAAACACGCCCGTGTGCCCCACCATGTCACCGTTCGCCAGGTTCAGCCGAATGTAGTCATACTTCCCCGACAGAATCGCATCCTTGCACGCAGCAGCGATCTCGCGCGCCTTCATGAGGGGCTTCTCGTTGAAGGGGCAGTTGTCGCTGGGCACCTCATAGTAGGTCTCCAGCTCCTCGTCCAGCTTGCCCGACCGGTTGCCGTTCCAAAAGAAGGTGACATGCCCAAACTTCTGTGTCTCACTGCGTGGGTGGCGCATGGGGACGGGAAGGGCGAGGGGCATAGGGAGCGGAGGAGAGGAAGGGAGGAGAGAGGGGAGGAGATGAGGGGAAGGGAGGGGGGATGAGGGAGGGGTTGCACGCAGCAGCGATCTCGCGCGCCTTCATGAGGGGCTTCTCGTTGAAGGGGCAGTTGTTGCGGGCACCTCATAGTAGGTCTCCAGCTCCTCGTCCAGCTTGCCCGACCGGTTGCCGTTCCAAAAAAACGTCACGTGCCCAAACTTCTGCGTCTCACGGTTGGGGCATGGGTGGGTGGCGAGTGGGGTAATGGAGAGGATGAGGGAGGGGAGGAGGGGAGGAGGGAGGGGATGAGAAAGGGGATGAGGGGCGAGATGAGGGACGGGATGAGGAACGGGATGAGGGATGGGAGGGAGGAGGAAGGGGATGCACACCACAGCAATTTCTCAAACTTCCCATGTGAGGCTTCTGGTTTAAGGGGCATCTATCACTGGGTGGGTACCTCATAATATACCTGAGATTTTCTTTTCCTGAAACCACTCCCCCAACCTCTGAACCGCAATTAATTCCCGCATGTACTGACCTGCATGCTACGGTGCACACGCCGTTCTTCACGAGGTACTGCAAGGGTCTGTCCACTAAAACCACTCCCCAAACCCCAGCACACAGTACCAGGACTTCGAAGGTGCACACTCCTTTTTTCACAAGTTTTGACAATCCAATTCTCTGAAACCACTCCCAAAACCTCCACACCGCACAACCCCCAACCAATACTAACCTGCATGCGAAGGTGCGCACGCCGTTCTTCACGAGGTACTGCCCGGAGGTGTTTTCGATGACGGGCGGCGCGACGAGGAACTTTGCGGGCAGCTTGAGGTCACCGTCGTACTGCATCATGCCCGCAAAGTGCACCTTGGGCACGCGGATGCGGTCAAACTGGTGGAAGTCGGGGTACTCAAAGGCCTTGGAGATCTGAGGGGGTGGGAACACGGGAAGGTGTTTGAGTGGGGCAAACAAGGGAGCGGAGAGTGTGAGTGCGCCAATAGACCACATCAAGCAGGCACCTTGGGCACGCGCACACAGTCGAACTGTTGGAAATCCTCTTAAGGCCTTGGAGATCTGTGGGGGTGGGAGCGGGGACAGAGGGAGGATGGGGCAGGGGAGGGGTGAAACTGTGAACAAACCATTGCAGGCACCTAGGCCACGCCCACGTGGTCGAACTGGTGGCAGTCCGGGTACTTGAAGGCCTTAGATATCTGGAATACGAAAAAAGAGGTTGGGGTGGGGCCAAGAGGGAGCGAATACGAAAGTGCGAGTGCGGGGAGACAGCCTTGAACATACGCAGTCTCATTTACAGGAATCACTGGTCGTTCACGCTTGGGTCGTTCACGCTCGGGTCGTTCGCGCTCGGGTCGTTCACGCTCGGATCGTCCGCTTTTATATCACTCAGCGCCTCCATAAGGCGCCTCAGAAATCGCAAACCGTCTCACCTGAATCACGCGGTCAGCGCGGAAGTTCCAGATAACAACCGCATCCCCGTCCAAAATCGGCCCCACGGGCTTGCCCTCATCATCCACGACCACCCACAGCGAGTAGTACTGATCGTTCACGCTAGCTTTCATCCACATTCGCTCACCTGAATCACACGATCCGCACGGAAGTTCCAGATAACAACGGCATCGCCGTCCACGATCGGTCCAACGGGCTTCTCCTCGTCATCCACGATCACCCACGGCGGATAGTACTGGTCGTTCACGCTCGGGTCGTCCTCCTTGATCTTCTTGAGCGCCTCCAGGGCGGACTTGAACTTGAACGGCGCCTCGCCCAGCACGTGCGCGTGCCACCCGCGCTCCACGATCTTCCAGTCCGCCTGCGGAGGGGAGAGAAGGGGGGCGGGGAAGGAGAGGGGGAGGAGTTGGGGTAGGGGGGTGGAATTTCGGTTCGGGGCCTCTCGTAGGTCCCACACGTGCGCGGGGCACCCGCGCTCCGAAAATTCAATCGTCCTGGGAGCGGCAGCAAGGCACACGAGACCTTTCAGGCAGGACCATTCAACACCAATTTAAACCACAGCAAGTAATTCCCTGCTAGTCTTGTCTGTACTACTCTCTACTCGTTGCCATTCAACTAAGTCAAATCTCCCTATCCCAAACCTTTCATTATCATTCCATCCTTTCACGTGACCGATCTAATGCATTCCAAGTTCCAATACCACATGTTATGGACCACCACTGAGCACCACTCACAACCACTGACCTCGTAGCGATCCATGGTGACGCGCATGCGCCCGCCGCCCGACGCGATCTTGGCGTCGCAGCCCTGCGCGCGCAGCAGCTCGAGATCCTTCTCCAGCTGCGCCACGAACTGCAGCGACGACCCGTCCGGCACATCGCGACCGTCCGTCAGCACGTGCACGCGCACGCGCTTCGCGCCGCGCTCCCACGCGCCGTGAATCGTGCCGATCACCTGGTCGTAGCGCGAGTGAACCCCGCCGTCGCTGCAAGGGTGGGAACACACGGCGATGGAACACAAGGATGAGACAACAACGGAAACTGCCGAATCAAGAAATACTCAGAAATCTGAGGATAAGAACCGGTAAACTTGCAAGATCCATTCCCGATCGCCGAAATCGACAGACGAACGTTAATCTGGAAGGGTTGCACAGAGATTCTCGCGAAAGCCGATCGCGTGCTGACCTGAGCAGGCCGATCATGTGGAGCGTGCCGCCGTTGTCCCACGCCTCCTTGACGTAGTTAAAGCCGTCGCTCTTGTACATGTCACCCGTCTCGAGCGCCGTGTCCACCAGAGCCGCTCTGCACGGACACATGCAGACGAAAGGCGAGAATTCAGGTGAGTACAGGTAAACTGCGTAACTTTCGAGTCATTTCAAAGGCTGACTTGAGCACGGTGTCCACCAGTGCCGCTTTGCACGGACGCATGTAGGCGAAAGGTGAAGGATTTTCGCTTTCGCAGGAAGATTCGATGAAGGCCAACGGTTCAAAGAGCGGCGAAAAAGTACGACGAGCAAAGAAAGATTCAAAGAGCGACGCAAGATTTCATAAGCGACGAGAGATTCAACAAAGGATCAACTGATAACCAACAAAACGGTCAGGATTCAAGAGTGTAACACAAGATCACCCGTTAAAATCAACGGATCTGGCGATTCGAACGGCAACAAGGCACCAAGCACCGACTCCCTGTCCCAGCACTCACGCACCCCTGGTTGATGACCTTCCCCGCGCCCATGGCGTTGTGCCCCACTTCCGAGTTCCCCATGTCGCCGTCGCTCGGCAGCCCCACGGCCTTGCCGTGCGCCTTGATCGTGCGCCAGCGGTTAGGGCGGTTCTCGCGCAGCGCCTTGATGTGCGGGCAGTTGCCCTTGTAGATCGCGTTATAGTCGTCCTCGACATTCTCTCCCCACCCGTCGAGGATCATAAGCACGAGCGGCTTCCCGCGGGGAATCACGGGATGCGGCTTCAGCTCCCATTTGTCCTCGTTCACCATGGTTCTCGCGATTAGATCTCGCGGAGGCGGAGGAGTGAGCGCGGGAGACGGAGACACGGATCGGTCGCTCGCTCCTACGCGACTGGAGAGCCGAGGAGAGGTGAGGAGTGGGAGAGCAGCGAGAGCTGAAGTCTTGATCTGAGAATGAGCGAGACAGAGGCGTCGAGCTTTATGACGCAGCAGAGCAAGCATTGGGTCTGCCACGCGCAAAAGAATATTCCCAAGGTTGCGTTGCCTCCTCTTCCCCGTAGCGTTTGCGCACGCGGAAATGGATTCTTCCGCGAGTTTGAATCTGACAGGCGAAATGAGGCAAGCGGAGGACGGATTTCATCAGGCGCGGGGAATGGGGGGAAGCGGAGGTGAATGATGGGTTTCGCGAAGTCTGACAGCGTACGCGAAGTTTCTCTGACGAAGCGATACCTGCTCGGCGATATTCGTACAAGAGCAACCGATGGCTGGGAGAAGCTGACCGGCTTGGACAATTTCGCGATTTCTGGAGATATGCCTTCGCGACACAGACAGTCAAGTGACTGAACCTTTTTCAGCATACTTCGAATGCAATACAAGTATTCATAACATCATACACTCGATAGATTTGAAGTTTAGAAACGGTACTGCCATGATCAAGAAGAGGCTACTTCCGCTTTACAAATCTCATGGTCTCTGAATCATTTCCGTGGCGCCTCTTTCATGCCATGAAGGCCTTATGGCTTATGACCTTCATAGGCTGAATAGCGTGAGCGTTCTTCCATCATAAACTTGTTAGTAGTCGTCAGGCACTAACTTGTCCATTCGTTCGCTTCGAAAACGGCGATATTGTGTGTCAAACGCTGCGCATTCGCAAAAATGCTGATTCAACCAACGCATTGACAACGTTCAACACCATGATCAAAGTCAGGAATGCATTAATCAAGTCAAGGACGACGGTCAGCGTCAGGAATGCATTAATCAAGTCAAGGACGACTCTTTGAACGCTCTCTATGCTGGGTGGAGCGTCATAAGAAAGAGAGCCGATACTCCAAAGCGAGCCGGCTCAGTCCGTCGATCAGAGATCAGCGATCGACGCTCGGCGATCAGCATCAAGCGATCAGCGGCGATCTGCAATTAGCATCAAGCGATCAGCGGCGATATTCAACTAGCATCAAGCGATTAGAGATAAGCGGCGATCCGCGATCAGCATCAGAAGCATCAATTAGCGGGCGAGGCGCGATGTGCATCGGATTCTGCACCAGCTGCTGCTTTCGCCGGTGCCCCCTTGGGTCACTGCCTCTGCTCCTGCTGCTCCTTCGGCCCGTCGCGGCGAAGTTCTTATATGGAGGGATGTTCCTGGCCTCCGTTGTTGTAGCGTGGGTTCTTACATACTACGTCACCAATGCACTCTACAATCTCTACAGTGAGTGCGATCCGTACACTACATTCGGAGCTAATCGTAGTGATTCATTCATTGGAATGCTGTGGTGGTAGCAACGTTCCCGTATCTTAGCAGTGCGAAGAAACGCCACATTCCGTTTATCACACACATGCCGGTACCGCCATTGAGGCGAGCCGTGCATCCCAAGGCGAGCCGTGCATCCCAAGGCGAGCCGTGCATCCCAAGGTCAGCCGTGCATCCCAAGGTCAGCCGTGCATCCCAAGGTCAGTCGTGCATCCCAAGGTGAGCCGTGCATCCCAAGGTGAGCCGTGCATCCCAAGGTGAGCCGTTCTTCCCAAGGTGAGCCGTGCTTCCCAAGGTGAGCCGTGCATCCCAAGGTGAGCCGTGCTTCCCAAGGTGAGCATTTCTAATAAGTCTGTGGCTCACATTCTCATCGTGTTTTTTCACGGTTGTCGCCATCTCTGTCCAACCCAAAGTGTTCTTGCCTGTTGCTACATAGCCCGATGCTGCATACCTAGGTCAATCACGTGATGCATTAGAGCTGTAAGAATTTTGACTGTAAGTCGTCTGGTAACCTCCTATCCCACTTGCATGCATCTGCATCTGTATGTGTGTGTGGATGCAGGGTCGCTCACCACAAGTGTCATGGCGGTGTATTTCGTCTTCCTCTGCTGGTCGGCAATCATGAGTGAGGCGCCCGCTGAGGCGTGCAACACTCGCCCTCGCCAGACCGGATACGGCGGGTGACTTGATATTCTGGTGAGGACATTTCAAGTTGCTATTATTCCACTTCGCACACTTATTACTCATACTTGAATTTGAATGACATGCATACATCCAGCAGTCGAGGATATTTTTTTGTAACTGACAAACTGCTACTTATGCTTCATTCTTCTTTCCATTCTGCCTGTGCCACTCAGGCATTCATGTAGGCGAGCATGAACATGTTGTACTTATTCTCCTTCTATTCTTCCTCCCCCCCATCTTCACAACACACAGGCATTTAGTGGCACTCATAAGCATCGCCATATCAGTCTATGCCACAGGAATCAACTCCCGTTGCTTCTCGCTCCGGCCTAAAGACGAAGAATCCGCCGGTAACGGAGAGGTTCCCTATGGTTACGGCTTCTTCCATCTCGTGTTCCTTACCGGTTCAATGTACATGGCTATGATATTACTGGGGTGGAATATGAATCAAACCCCGGTTGAATGGAGCATCGATGGTGGTTGGATTAACACCTGGGTCAAGATGGCTTTGCTGTGGTTATCTGCTTTGGTTTATCTGTGGACGCTCATTCCTCCCTTTGTGTTAAGGGGTAGAGAGTTTAGATGATTGCTTGCCACCCACCCTTCCATGCAAGTCATTCTAAGACGAGGAGCATAATGCTGATTCAATCAGCCTGAGAACATGTGAGCAAAGTTGAGAGGTACAAATCTCAATCTCAAGCATCCCTGCACTCAGGAGAACAGTGTCCCTAGGTTTTGTCTGCCAGAAATAGCATGACAGGGATGTCTTTGTATGATATTAGTAATTCTTTTGCATGAAATGATGCACTGAATGCATGCTAACATTAATGATCCTGTTTATCAGCTAGGTATGTTGCTATACGCATATCTGGTGCAGGTTAAACCACCTATTTCCAAATGTCCTTCTGGGACGTGTCACATATGTGTGATTTATAACCTTAGCATATCTATCATTATTTAGGCAATTATATAAGTCTACAATAATTAAAGCAATCATAAAGCGCGCCATGGTCTTCTCTTCAGTCTTCTGGGCCCCTCTTGGCCACTGGGGGGGTTAACCCCTAGTGTTACACCCACACACCACGTTGAGGTGGGGACCCTTCGTGTGGGACCTGCATGGGGACCACGGGGGGTTAGTAGCAAACAGCAAGCAAGCACAGCAACAAACAAGGAAACAAGCAAGGAAACAGCGAAGAAAAACAAGCAACAAGCAAGGAAACAGCGAAGAACAAGCAACTAACTAAGAAATAGCGAAGAAGCAACAAACAAAGAAACAGCGAAGAAGAACAAGCAAAGAAAGCGCGGAAAGCAGCTACACTTACAGCACCCACCACCACGACGACCGTTGCTGGCGTGCCGTGCAGTCCACCTCCGCTCCGCAACCCCGCATGGAACGAGGAGGACAGGAGACGTCTCTCAAGCCTCGCTCAAACCAGGCAGAGCCCGCCCCAGGTGGAGGCGGGGTGAGGCTCATCCGATTTCAGGTAGCGTCCCGCCATCCATCATCAGAGCACGCACACACACGGGCGCTTCAGGCGTTAGGAGGCCAGCCCTAACGCCGTTAGCACTCCCCTGCCGCACACCACCTGATGCCACCGTTGGGGGTCTTCACTTCAGTGCTCCCCACACATGTTGTGCAAATCATCTTGACGGGAGGGGAGGGGAAGGGAGGGGAGGGGAGGGGAGGGGAGGGGAGGGGAGGAGAGTAGAGGAGAGGAGAGGGGAGGGGAGGAGAGGAGAGGAGAGGGGAGGGGAGGAGAGGGGGGGGTGAGGGGGTCTTCGGTCTTCAGTCTCCGGTCTTGAGTCTTCAGTCGTCCTGTACAAAGATAGGAAACACAACAGTTAGTTTCCCGAGCAGATAAAGCATGGGGCAGTTGGGGAGAAAAGCAAGGCGAGGAGAAAATCGGCTTACCCTGCTGCAGAAGCGACTGCTCCTTTTGGCTCTGCTGCATCTCCTATGTAATGGAAAGGCAGAATATAGGAAACAGTGATATGGCAGATAGGGAAAGTAGGGAAACTGAGCTCACGAAACTGAAAAATGGCAACGCATACAGAGTCAATGCAAAATGAATTAAGGCGAGAACAGGAGGATTACCAGAGAAGAGCAGAGGTGACTGCTCCTGTTCCTCCCCCCCTGATGCTCCTCGCCGCCTCTGCTGCATCTCCTGTGAAATGGAAGAGGCCGAATTCAGGAAACAGAGTCAAGACAGACATATGAAGGAAAGTAGGGAAACTGAGCTCACGAAAACTGAAAAATGGCAACGCAAACAAATTCAACGCAAAATGAATTAAGGCGAGAAGAGGAGGAGGCTTACCAGAGAAGAGCAGAGGCGACTGCTCCTATTCCTCCCCCCCCCCCCCCCGCTGCCTCTCGCCGCCTCTGCTGCATCTCCTGTGTAATGGAAGAGGCAGAATTCAGGAAACAGAGTCAAGACAGACAGATGAAGGAAAGTAGGGAAATTGAGCTCACGAAAACTGAAAAACGGCAACTCATATAGAGTCAATGCAAAACGAATTAAGGCGAGAAGAGGAGGCTTACCAGAGAAGAGCAGAGGCGACTGCTCCTGTTCCTCCCCCCCCCCGCTGCTCCTCGCCGCCTCTGCTGCATCTCCTGTGTAATGGATGAGGCAGAATTCAAGAATCAGAGTCAAGACAGACAGATGAAGGAAAGTAGGGAAATTGAGCTCACGAAAACTGAAAAACGGCAACGCATATAGAGTCAATGCAAAATGAATTAAGGCGAGAAGAGGAGGCTTACCAGAGAAGAGCAGAGGCTACTGCTCCTGTTCCTCCCCCCCCCGCTGCTCCTCGCCGCCTCTGCTGCATCTCCTGTGTAATGGAAGAGGCAGAAATCAGGAAACGGAGTTAAGGCAGACAGATAAAGAAAGTAGGGAAATTGAGCTCACGAAAACTGAAGAACGGCAACGCATACAGAGTCAATGCAAAATGAATTAAGGCGAGAAGAGGAGGCTTACCAGAGAAGAGCAGAGGCGACTGCTCCTGTTCCTCCCCCTCCCCCGCTGCCTCTCGCCGCCTCTGCTGCATCTCCTGTGTAACCGAAGAGGCAGAATTCAGGAAACGGAGTTAAGGCAGACAGATAAAGAAAGTAGGGAAATTGAGCTCACGAAAACTGAAGAACGGCAACGCATACAGAGTCAATGCAAAATGAATTAAGGCGAGAAGAGGAGGCTTACCAGAGAAGAGCAGAGGCGACTGCTCCTGTTCCTCCCCCTCCCCCGCTGCCTCTCGCCGCCTCTGCTGCATCTCCTGTGTAACCGAAGAGGCAGAATTCAGGAAACGGAGTCAAGACAGACAGATGAAGGACAGTAGGGAAATTGAGCTCACGAAAACTGAAGAACGGCAACGCATACAAAGTCAATGCAAAATGAATTAAGGCGAGAAGAGGAGGCTTACCAGAGAAGAGCAGAGACGACTGCTCCTATTCCTCCCCCCCCCCGCTGCTCCTCGCCGCCTCTGCTGCATCTCCTGTGTAATGGAAGAGGCAGAATTCAGGAAACAGAGTCAAGACAGTCAGATGAAGGAAAGTAGGGAAATTGAGCTCACGAAAACTGAAAAATGGCAACGAATACAGAGTCAATGCAAAATGAATTAACGCGAGAAGAGGAGGCTTACCAGAGAAGAGCAGAGGCGACTGTCAAACATATATTTATATGTTATAGTTTAGGTAGGCTTTAGTGGGGTACTCACTGTGGGGTACAACCCCTTAGGTTTCACTTTTGTACCAAACCTTCTCGATAGTTGAACCATCCCTACCACCCTACTCTAACATGGTATTAAGAGCACTTAGATCTTATGACCTAATTTCCTAGTGGGCCCACCGTTACCTCTTTTTTTTTTTAGGGTTTCCCCTGCCTGTCGAGCTGCCCCACCCGTCGCGCCGCCCTGCTGGCCGCGCGACGTGCGTTTATTTTTATTTTTCTTCGTTTTTTCTCATCACGCCACCCTAGGGCCCGGCCCCGCCCGTCGCGTCGCCTTAGGGCCTTCGCGCCGCCCACGGGAGCCAGTCGCGCTGCCCTGCTGGCAGCGCGCGACCCCGCCTGGCCCGTCGCGCACCTGTAGGGCCCGCGAGCCGCCCTTCCCTGCCCGTCGCGCCGCCCCTTTTTTGGCAGCGAGCGGCTCGGCCCCGCCCTCGCGCACCCCTACGGCCCTCGTGCCGAGCTCTACCCGCTGTTGCGGCCCCGCCCTGCCCCAACGTCGCCCCTGGAGCAGCCGCCCCTGGACCCAGAGCAGCCACCCCTGGCTCCTGAAGCAGCCGCCCCTGGTGCAGCCGCCCCTGGACCTAGAGCAGCCGCCCCTGGCCCCTGCAGCAGCCGCCCCTGGTGCAGCCGCCCCTGGACCCTCGAGCAACCGCCCCTGGACCGAGAGCAGCCGCCCCTGGCCCCTGAAGCAGCCGCCCCTGGTGCAGCCGCCCCTAGACCCTCGAGCAGCCGCCCCTGGACCCAGAGCAGCCGCCCCTGGCTCCTACAGCAGCCGCCCCTGGTGCAGCCGCCCCTGGACCCTGAGCAGCCGCCCCTGGCCCCTGCAGCAGCCGCCCCTGGTGCAGCCGCCCCTGGTGCAGCCGCCCCTGGACTCCGTGCAGCCGCCCCTGGACCCCGTGCAGCCGCCCGCCGAGCGCCGGCCCTGCTCGCCCGGCGAGCGCCTGCTCTTCCCGCCACTGGTGAGCACCTGCCTTGTTAGCGCACTGCCTGCCTGCCGCGCCTGCCCCGCCCGCCTGCCTGCCTGTCTGCCGGCCTGCCTGCCTGCCTGCCGGCCTGCCTGCCTGCCGGCCTGCCTGCCTGCCCGCGCTGCTACTGCTACTCCTGCCGCTACTTTTGTTACTGCTGCTAGGCTACTGCTGCTGCTACTGCTGCGATGCAGCTCCAGCGCCGTCTGCGCGAGTCTCTCACGCCCCAGCAGCTTCGTGAGTGGTACGGTAGTTGGGGTTGTGGCGGTAACCGTCGTGGCTGTAGCCCTGGAGCTGGTCCGTTGGGAGCGTCTGGCAGTGGCCAGCCGCAGCTGCAGCGGCGTTCGCGAGAGACACTTACGTCCCGGCAGCTTCACGAGTGGTACGCTCAGAGTAGAGGGTCTTTGAGTCCAGTTCGCTGCCCGTACGTCATTCGCACAGGTGATCGGACTGGTCAGGCTTGCGGGACGCCTGGTCACACACAGTCCCGCTGCTTCGCCCGTCTGAGCGACGCCTGGCGTACCGAGTTTGGCGACGAGGTTGAGCTCCCCACCTGGCTGGAGCTGCTTGGACAGAGGGTAGATATCTTTGCTCTTGACTATGATGCTATTCTCACTGCCATGTATGCATTGCCTACTAGTGCCGACCGTGCCTGTTACCTGTGCGTACCACCTGACCCAGGTATAGAGTCTGCTGCTCTAGGTGCTGGCGAGGCTACTGCTCTAGGTGCTAGTGCGTCTCCTGCTCCAGGTGCTGGTGAGGCTGCTGCTCTAGGTACTGGTGAGTCTGCCCTCTCTGGTACTGTGCCTGCTGAGGCCTTGTACACCTTCACACTTGACTCCGGTGCCTCTCGCTCTTTCTTTCGCGACAGCACTACCCTCACGCCGCTCAGTCGGCCGGTTCCAGTCTCCCTGGCAGACCCCTCTGGGGGTCCAGTCCGTGCGACCTCCTCCACTGTCCTCCCTTGTCCTGCTGTCCCGTCCGGCACACTGTCGGGTCTTTACCTCCCCTCGTTCTCTACGAACTTGGTGGCGAGTTCCGCGCTCCAGGACGCGCGTGTTCACCAGTTCACCCCTGCCTACGAGCGTGTGACACACTGCACGTGTGCTCAGACGGGTCGTCACCTGGCTACCTTCACTCGGCAGCCGGGGTCGGGCCTGTACACACTGACCACTGAGTCCCCTCAGGTAGCTGCGTCTGCGTCTGCGTCAGGTCAGTTGTCGGCCCCCTGCTCGTGTCGCGCCTTGTCGCACCAGACGGTCCTTTGGCACCACCGCCTTGGTCACCCCTCGGTGCAGCGCCTTCGCAACATGCACCGCCGTGTCCTTGTCTCTGGTCTTCCCAGGGTTCTCCCTCCCCTCCCACCCTCGCCTGCTCCTCCCTGTCTTCCCTGGGTCGAGGGGCGGCAGCGCGCCGCTCCTCACTCCTCCTCGTTCCCTCCCACAGAGGCTCCCCTGCAGACTCTCCACCTGGACGTGTGGGGCCCAGCCCGCGTCCGTGGACAGGGCCACGAGCGGTACTTCCTGCTGGTCGTCGACGACTACACGCGTTACACCATGGTCTTCCCCTTGCGCACCAAGGGTGAGGTCCCTGATGTTTTGATCCCTTGGATCCGCGCTGCTTGTCTCCAGCTCCACGAGCGGTTCGGGACGGAGTTTCCCGTCCTGCGTCTGCACTCTAACAGAGGTGGTGAGTTCTCCTCAGACCTCTTGGCAGCCTTCTGTGCGGAGCACGGCATCCGCCAGACGTTCACGCTTCCGGCCTCTCCGCAGCATAATGGGGTTGTTGAGCGCCGCATTGGCTTGGTCGTGGAGGTCGCTCGTACCTCCATGGTCCATGCGGCTGCCCCCCATTTTCTGTGGCCGTTTGCGGTCCGCTACGCCGCGCATCAGCTCAACCTCTGGCCCCGTGTCTCCTTGCCGGAGACCTCGCCCACACTGCTGTGGACGGGGAAGGTTGGCGATGTGTCGCGTTTCCGGGTCTGGGGTGCTCGCGCCTTTGTCCGCGATACCACCGCGGACAAGCTCTCCGCCCGCGCTGTTCCCTGTGCCTTCCTTGGCTTTGTCCCTGACGCGCCTGGTTGGCAGTTTTACCACCCCACCTCGCGCCGTGTCTTCCCCTCTCAGGACGTCACGTTCGACGAGTCGGTTCCCTTTTACCGTCTCTTCCCCTACCGCACTGCGCCTCTCCCCCCCCCGCCGCTCTTCCTCGCTCCAGGTGCTACCCAGGTAGACCCCCTCCCCGCTCCCGGTCCTGCTCCTTCAGGTGTGTCTCAGGTAGACCCTCCTCCCTTGACTGCGCCGGTTGAGGTCACTGGTGACTCAGGTCCTGCTGAGGGTGGTCCTGCTCGGGGTACTGCTTCTGGGGGTGCGGAGCCTGGGGGTGCGGTGACTGGAGGTGCTGAGCCTGGGGGTACTGAGTCTGGGGGTGCTGCACCTGGGGGCGCTGAGGCGTCTAGTGAGCAGTCTCCCTGGGGCGGCCGTCTCCGTAGTCGCTCTACTGGAACCTCGCCGCTGCACTCTCGTCGTCGACTCCCTCTCTCCCCACAGCAGTTGCGTGAGTGGTATGTTGGCCGTCAGGGTCGCGCTGCTGGAGCTAGGGGCTCTGCTGCGGGAGGCGCTGGTGCTGGTGACTCTGCTACTGGGGTAGTTTCTGCTGGAGGTTCTGGAGCTGCTGCGGGTGCTGGCGCTGGAGGTTTTGGAGCTGCTGCTGGTGCTGGCGCTGGAGGTTCTGGAGCTGCTGTGGGTGCTGGCGCTGGAGGTGCTGGCGCTGGAGGTGCTGGAGCTGCTGCGGGTGCTGGCGCTGAGGTATCTGAGTCTGCTGTTGCGCGGTCTCCTTGGAGTAGCCGCCTTCGTCCGCGTGTGCCTCTCACCTCACAGCAGCTGCACGACTGGTACGGTCGCCGTCAGGGTCGCGCTTCTGGAGCTCAGGGCTCTACCGCTGGAGGTACTTCTGCTGGCGTCACTGGAGCTGGGAGTGGTGCTGGTCCCGGAGGTGCTCGTACTGGAGGTACTGGAGCTGCTGGGGCTGGAGGTGCTGAGCCTGAGGGTACTACTGCTGGAGACCCTGGGTCTGGGGGTGCTGCTACTGGAGATACTGAGACCGGAGACCCTGGGACTGGAGGTGCCGGTTCTGGGGGTGCTGCTACTGGTGGAGCTGGTCCTGGAGGAGCTGGCGCTGAGGGTTCTGGAGCTGCTGGAGGTGCTGGAGCTGCTTGGGGTGCTGGAGCTGCTGGGGGTGCTGGTGCTGGTGGCGCTGCACAGCCGCGCCTGTTCTTTGCTCCACCGTCTCCGTCGTCTCAGCCACCGTCTGACTCTGTACTTCGCCAGGTTCTTAGTCTCCCTTCGTCTACTGGTCTTCCGTTACAGCCTGGCTCACCGCTGCCTGCTCCCTCTCCTTACACTGAGCAGTCAGGGGGTTTTACTGAGCGTCGTGAGCCTGCGTCGCGTCCTGTCTCACCTGTCCGTTCTGGTCGTCGTGTTCCTCGTTCGCGTCAGCCGGTTGTCCCCGGCACCCACCTCGTAGTTCGTCGTCCTTCCTCTCCTCCGCAGCGTGTTCCCCTACCGTCCCCCCCTGCGTC